TAGCTGGAAGGTTACCTGGATGTTGGTCGCTCAGTGAGTTGGTTCAAACTACAAGAAAGTGGATCAAAGAACCCGGGGTGACTAATCTGGCGAGGTCGCTCCGATGCTTAAGTTAGTATTGTATTCTGGTAGCGAGCTGAAAGCTTGAATGCAAGTAAGCTAGTGAGCAAGTAATCACACGTACCTTGTGCTATGGGGGTTAATGTCCTTATATAATTGAGTTGCTGTAAGCCCCAATAAACCTCTCCAGGATCTTTGGGCCGAGTGGTAGGAGTTCATTCCGTTTCAAAAGGTGGCCAACGTACTAGCTGGTAAGGCTTATCGTGTCCATCCGATTCGGGCGAAACGAGGATAAGGCCTATGGTTACATGGTATGACCCCGAAAGGCTCAAGGACAGTTGGCGAGATTCTAGAATCCGTTACATGTCACCTCGGTGCATGTGGTCACTGAGGTCCCTTGGCTTCAATACTATCTGAAGTGACTGAGGCACCCGAGGTGCCCTGGTTTTCCAAGGTGGTGGGAAGTGCTGAGTCATTGTCTGGCTGGCATGTCGCGTCCACGTGTCCTCAGTTATCAGGTCGGGCCAAATCACCCCTCATCATGTTCCTTCTTGATATGTATATACATTCAAAACACTCCAGTTGTGTTCACATACAGATGAGCTACACATGTAGTTAAGGAAATATAGTTGATTTAATTTATAAAATAAATTTTAAATAATAAACATGTTATAAGAAAAAAAATATTTATTATCTGGAGGCATTGACTTAAATGTCTCCAGTGAGAAAGGTCTTCCAAAATTACCACGACAACTTTCAAAAATAGTATGCTCTTTGTTTAGCTTTATCTCCACATCATCTAATTTGATTGCAAGCTTTTCAATGACATAAAAAATTGCATACATAACGGCCGAGGATTTAACTTTTGATTTTGGATCATATTGGAAGGCCAGGTTAAAATAATACCCTACGAGATGAAGCCTCTGACCCATTTGTCTATTCCATCTTCTATCAATAATCTACATGATTGGTCCATATTCAACTTTCTTATAATTAAAATACTTTTTCAATGATTCCTTTGACTTCAACATAGCATGATACATATACCCCATTGCAAGCCTAAACTCAGAATCTACAAGTCTCAATGCCCTAATAAGAGATGATGTGAAACCCACAATCATTTTGTATTGTGCCCAAAATTCAGAATCCAACACTATTTTTATTACTTCCTTCCCCTTTGCATCTTTGGAATACCTAGAGTCATTAAAACTTCGATCTGTCACCAAATTTTGCAAATCATGTTAGATAGTGTATGCCCTTAGCTCCAATCAGATTGATGTACATTAAACATTTATTGTAAATGAATAAAAATACATAGTTGATTCATTTATCCTTGGTATGTTTTTGTGTAATTACCCTTAAATTGGAGACTTATGAGACTAGTGTTAGTTTAAAATGTTCTCAGCCGTTGGATAGACTTGGGGAAGTTTATCCTGCTAAGGCTGGCACTAATGTGCTGCCAAGTCGGTTAGGGTAGTTTGTCTCAGCTGCCAGGGTTAGACCAGAAGCACATGTAGTGTGTGTTTGTTTGAAACAGTGAACCCGAACCAATTTCCAGTTATGCCCTGTACCTTGGAGACTGGTGGGCAAAACTGGAAAGTTACACCTAACCCCTAGACTCGATTATGGTATGCACTGTGTGTCAGATTAGGCTGTCTTTGATATGCCAACCAATGAGATCCTTCGGGGGTCAAAACTTGGGTATATTGGAGCAGTTTGAGAATTCACTTGAGTAGGTGATCATAGTGATAGGATCAGCCCCTTTGTTAGACAAAGTGAATGATCGAAGACTGCACTCTCTCTGATGGAAACCAAAACTGTCGGCACTCAATTTCAAACTTGTTTGAGATTTGTTTTGCAATATATATATATATATATATATAATGTTTTAAGAAAAAGGTTTGCAAAAGGTTTTAATTCATGGGATCCATTCGAGCAGAGAGTGCAACACTGTACCTTGCAACCAAGGGAGAGGTCCTCTTTTGTCGGGCAGTGTTTGATCATTAAGGGCTGAGAGGTTGAGTGTAAGACCATTTAGGGCTTGTATACCTGATGGGTTATATCTTACTTAAGTCCATTGTCCTTGGGCCTTCATAGGATGGCTGGACCCAAGGACTACTTAGTGTAAATGTTGGGCCCATTAAGAGCTCATAGTGATGGACTAAGAGGTTCATTGTGTCAACAGTGAATTCGGTCAGGCTTTGTTACAGAAGCTAGGCTGAACCCATGTAGACTTTTGTGAGGTCAATGTTAGGCTCCTATGCCATACAAAGAGAGCCACTTGCTTTATGGGCCTAGGGCTCAAGATTAATTAGATTAATCAGGGGTGTTACATGATAGCTTAAGCAGTCATGTGACATGGGCAAATAAGGGTATGGATCTGGGTTTGGATCAACAGATAAGATAAGAGGATAACTCTTATCCACTTAAAGAGTCCAAATCTGAATAAAGATTTGGATTAAAAAGCTCATATTTGGATTAGGAGATCAGCTCTTTAAGACTTATAAATAGGGGAGGGCGAACTGCTCCAGCTTACACTGCTCTCAGTTCTCCCTCTCTCCTTCTCCTCTTGCTACCTAGACTCTAATTTGACCTCCATTCTTGAACTAATTGAGATCAATTCTAATTCTGATTTTTTACAAGAAAATATCAGATCAAACTCGTGTTCACCTCCCTTATTCGATCCAAGCTATTGGATTGCAATTCTTGGTGAAGGACTGCATTGTTGAACCTGCTTCATCTCAAACTGTGCCATTTTCAGTGGAAGCAGGTTTTGGTACCCTCTTTGGGTGTGAACACCTACTTTGGGAGCTACACGTGTGGATTTCGTATCAAGTATTCATTTCCCTTTCTTTTGCTTTTAGATCTGGTCTGCTTTGGTGCAACAACGATCCTTGAAAAATGCAGTTTTTTTAAAACTGGAAATATGATTCCCGGAAGGTAGAAAAGAATTTTTTGAAATTTTACCCAGCCATCTAGCATGGTTCGACCATCCATATGAAGGATTTCTCTTCCCTTCAAATCATGCATTGTGCTTAAAAATGTTATCCAATGCAATGAAATTAATTGCAAAGCGAGTGGCCCCAAGACGTACTATCTCAGTCTAACCATGTTTCTTCCTCAGGATTGAGAGTATAAACATATGATTGTAGACAAACTTTGTAATTTTAAATGCACATTGAACCACATTTACAACATAACTCATTTCCCCAATTTCCTTTAACATCAAGTTTAGACAATGTACTGCACAAGGTGACTGATGAAGGAAGATTTGGCCCGACCTCGTAACCACTCAACACGTGGCAAAGGCAACAGCTTGGCACAATAGCTCGCCAAGGCGCGAGCTCCGAAAGGAGGAACCAGCGGTCTGAACTCCCTGCAAGGAGCCCGAACTCCTAGTAAGGATCCCGAGCTCTCCCTTAGGCCCCGAGCCTTACGAACACAAAGGGCAACAACCCGAACTGGCCTGCCCCATGGCAGTTCAAGCCACGCTTCTGTCCGAACTCAGGACTTCACCTCACACACCACTCCAGCACTTCGCCTCCAGGACACCGAACTGAACAAACCACACCGTACCTGACACCGAAAGAGTCCTTATCTAGGGGCGACGCACCTGACTGACTTGGGATTTGACGCTTGACAGCCGCACTCCAACGGCCACTTGCCACCGCCACCTGCCACCGCCATCTCCAGTTACACTCGTCTAGGGCCAACCTGTAGCACCTCGTCATTGGCCGAAGTGACCTCGACGCGAGGAGTGACCTCCCTCGAGGGCGTGCCGGCGTGACTGAGGTCCAAGTGGCGACCTACGAGACATGCTCGCAGACAAATCCGGCATGCATATCCCGACACTCCCACGTTTCTCAGAAGTTGGCCCATATACCGAACATTCTGAAGGGTGGTCAACGTGCATGGTGGTTACCTTCGAGGATTTCAGACTGGTTAGGCACGACCACCCAGAAATCTCGGATGCGGTGCATGAGGCCCACACCAAACAATGCCTATATAAAGGCACCAACCCTGACAACACAAAGGAGAGGCGAGTAAGCGCATTCTAGCTTTCATACTTTCTGATTTTTTTTTTTAGCTCGCGATTTACTACGAGAGTACTAACTTAATCATTGAAGTGACCTCACCGAGTTAGCCACCCCGGGTCCTCTAACATTGATTCCTTATAGGTTTCTCTGACGAGCTACCTAGCTCGGCTCCCAATCTACCCCTCGGCTCGGCCTAGTTAGCTCGGCATCCAAGTCCTCATCTAGCAAAAATCCTTCACTTCGGCCTCTGAGTCATCAGCCACTTGGAAGTAGTCCGAACAACAGGGTGCTACCAAAAATCCATTCATCAGGAATAACTTTAGGAAGAGATATCCAAAAGGATAAACATAGAAGAAAGAGGGGTGGGCCGGGCATGATGAGGTGTCATTATGAAAGAGGAGTTTGGATCTCCTGCCCACGTCTACCCACAACACACTACCCTCCATGAATTGGGAACATCTCTCCCTACATAATACTATGCAGAGGATGAGATGTTCTCCATGTATGGCTGTGATAAACGTGGGCAAGGTTCTCGTGAGTAGGAGATCCGGACTCATGAAAGAAGAAGAACGAAGTGATGAGATGGATTCATGAAGGAGTAAGAAAGGCTGAAATGGGATGGGCGGGGAGTTCTCGTCAAGGATAGAGAAAGCTGTGGCCATGACGTGGCATTATATATATAACAAATATACTTATAGAGTCGGGTTCACAAATTTCGACCCTAACCCAGAATCGATTTTCGGTTTTATAATTATGCATTTTAATGGAAATCAGGATTCAGGAATTCAAAACATGATTATCAATCAAACCGTTCCCACCGAAATGGTTACACCATCAAATCAGGAACTTGCCAGGAATGGGTTAGTCTGGTCCGTCTGTTTTTCAGGTCCGCATTGGGGATTCGGGATCGGGAGGTCAACTCTCTCTGTCTCTCTATGAGGATCACACTCTCCTTCGTGCTTGAGCCTTCAGGTCGGGAAGGGATTAGGATATGTATTACCCGATCCGGATATATTGATATTGCCCACCATTTTTCTCTTTTACCATGTAAGGACGTATCGATAATAGTGTGTATCACTCACAAGTCACAACACAAGTCAAAAGACTCAAAACCCGGCTAAAACCCTTCTCTTGCCTGATCGGCGCACTTCAAATCCCCCATCTTTAACATCTCTCTCTTTTGTCTAAACTAAAAATTCAGTTGGAGAGAGAGAATTCAACTGTTGGAGGAGATGTTTCAGGCCAGATTGGTTACTACGATTCTCCGAAGAAACAAAGCCCTAAATTTCTTCTCTCACGTCAAGGACGCATCTAGAGTTTCAAATGAATCCTCCCATGTCTCCCCCAAATTCTTCTCTAGATCTTCCGGCTATTCGTTTAGCGGGAGGAGCTACTTCCATGTCTTTAGATCCGTAAAAAAGGTATGGATTTCGTTTCTCTACCACATTGCGTTTTTCCATCTCTCGTGTAGTAGTGTATTAAAAGAAAGGAAAAACTCTTCTGACTTCTTACTATTTTAATATCCACTGTTTAGTCACAAAAAATTGCATAAATTCGGTATAGCGCTTTTTTTATATCTATATTTTGTTGAAATTTTACACTCTCTTAAGTTAGAAAGGGAAAAGTTTTCAGAGCTTCATCCAATTCACGGCAGATAATGGTAATCTTAGTTTCTCTGTTCCTTTTCTAAGTTTGCGCTTGTTTCTACGTAGAATTGGTGGAATAACACTTCCAGCCACAAAAGAGGCAGAAAATTAATTGCAAGTTTACAGGTTGAAAATTTTTATGCCTACCTTATGATGAAACAAGTTGAACCCAAATGTCAAATATAGAGGCTAAAGAGTTGGCCAGTCTTTAGCCAATGTCTCTCTTAAAGGAATTGTTGGGAGTCTTCTTGTTCTTATCGTTCTTACTTATATATATATATATAATTTTCATGATTTATTTTCTATTTCTTTACAAAACTTTCACAATATGTCAGTGGTGTTAAATTATTCAATGTTTGAATAATTTCTAATTTCATGCTTCTCTTGATACTTTTGCCTCTTTTCGTGCTACTACAATTTGTATAGGATGTAGTTCCAATTAAGCACCTCATACTTTTTGCTTCATACTTTTCCTGACATCTTTTTGGTGAGTGACCAATAATATTTATAGTCTTTTTATGTCTAAATTCTTTGGTTTCTTCCCCATCTGAAAAAGATGTCTGTTCAGTGATCATGCATTTTTTTTGATAAAGTTCAGTGGTCATGCATGGTGAACAGATTTAATCACCAATGGGGTGGACCCGGTGGCAATTAGGCAGCTTGACCTTCAACCTATCTATCTAGTCTGCCAATCCGTTAATGACTAAATAGGAATTGTATAGGTGGAATGCAACCTAAACCCACCTTAACCCACTCCACTCAACCTGTTAATACATGAAGTCACATATCTTGGGCCATGGTGGGTGCCACAGGGCACATATTGAATCATCAAAATAAATTCTCAAATTGGAGCTTTTATGTTTTCAGTTTTCCGACTTCACCACAGTAGCTGCAGCTAGAGAAGTGCTTTAACCAAATAAGGAAAAAAGTACATGCCATATTTATCAAAAAAAAGTACATGCCATCACCAATGTTTAGAGAACTGGACCCGGCATTGAGCCAAATAAAGGGAGAGGTTCATGGGTCAGAGGTTCAAATGAGGTCAAACCATGATTATGTAATGTATATAATCAATAATATAATATGCACAATTATTTAATGTATAAATAATAATATTAATTATATACATATATTCAAGATATATAATTATGCTCTGCTTTAACCTATATTTTTTTATTTTAGTTTCAATTTTTATATTAAAAATTAAGATTTGAGGCCAAAAAAGGCATTTCTTGGAAAAAATAACGAGGAAATGTTCCTTTGGCCCCTTGGGAACATGTAGATCTTGAAAAGTTACCCAAAATAATATAAAGTTCACCCCAATCAGATGAATGAGCACAAAATTATGGCTTCTTGAAGTTTGCATTTAAATTTAAAAAAAATTGAGGGGAAAAATGGCTGGTTGCACAAAACTAGGATTGGTTCATTGGTTCCCAGGTTGGACTGGATGGGTGGACGGTTTTAGCTGTTTTTTTGGCAGTGGCGGAGCCAGAAATTTTCTTTTTTTGGGGGGGGGGGTCAAGTTAAACAAGAACATGAAATAGGGAGTAGAGGGGATAGGGTTTCAAGAGAAATGGGGCGGGAAGGTTTAGGTGGCAGATGCACGTCTTTTCGTGTCTTTCCACGGGAAAAGCTTCATTTGGAGCTTCCCGAAATCAGCCCAAAATGGGCTTTTCGCCACCGGCTTTTGGCGGCTAGATCTTCCACGAGCCAAATGGAAATAGACCGAAAATCGGTCTGCCCGGCTTGTAAACAGCCGAAAGACCGTGCGGAAAGACGCGCCAAATGGGCCCTACCTTTTTTACTGCCTCGACTTACTAGCTGTATAAATGATAGCTTTAACAAAAAGTTTTTTTGGGGGGGACTATGACCCCCCACCAATATGCTTGGCTCCACCCTATTTTTTGGTGATAGCAGTTTTAGGGGTATGACTGAACCTACCTGGGGATTGGGTCACATTTAACTGATCCAATTGGCTGGTCTAGTCCAGTTTTCTAGACATTGGCTATCACCATCAAGCTTCGCTTCTACCTTTTTTCAAATTATTCCTCTAGTTTTATCTTCCTTCTTTATCCCCCTTTCTTGTCGTTATTCATTGTTCTTCATCATTAATTGTCCATATAGGATCAAGATCAAAGTTCGAACTATCTGTATCATCATCATGTATCATATTGGTAAGGTTGGATACAGATATGTATTGTGGTACATTGTGGATATTCATGGATACAGTGGAAAGACATGGATACACTTGGATACAGTGGGGAAACTCTTACAAATCCAAAAATACATCAATAACAATAAATCTAAATTTGAAATAACTATGAATAAAGCATAAACACATAAGAAATGCACACTTATAGTTTATGAAGATTGAAGAGATACATTACAACCAACAATACCGAGAATCTGGAACATGTAGTTATCATACAATAGCTTTACTAATAGTACATCAAACAATGTTTGAGCTTTCCAATATACGAAAAATTCACTACAAGACATTAAATTGTTGTTGGATCAATGGTTTTGATATATCATTGGTAATCATTCCATACCATGAAAATCATTTAGAATATATAAAATAAATTATTTTTTAATTTTCAAATTTTTCATAAAAAATTAAGAAAAAAATCACTTTTAACGTAGATTATTTTTAGACCAATGAGTTTAATAGAGTTGATGGGTCCATCTTATAGTTCTTTCCTACAATACAATGAGAATCATTTAAGACAATAAAAAACTTCTTCTATAATTTTCAAGGTTTTCCAATTTTTTTGGGAAAAATCCATAGTTCTAACAAGTTTGGACTGCTGGTGTCATTGGATATGTGTTGGCAGTTCAAGCTATCAGGACAACCTTTTTTTTTTTTTTTTTTGATCAGCAACTATCAGGACAACTATGACCACTAAAAATAATGATTTTTGACCTATGCCAATAGTATTGAACTTTTAGCAACAGTATTGACCATTGCTACAGCTTTTAGCAACAGTCCTGAGTTGAAGATCACCGGCATAGGTCCCTTTACACTGTATCTTTTTCCATGCATACCATATGCCCAACCCTTTGGATACCAATACAATGCATCCTGTATTGGGCATACTGTGTTGATATGATCAAGACCATCCCTCCCAAGAAAGAGTTTAACAGAAAAGGGAAAATGAAGAATAATGGCCTATAACCCTGTTTTTTGTTTTATGTTTTTTTTTGAGAAATGGTAAAGAATATTATATTACTGAAGTAAAAATGGGAGAAATTTCCAATACAGTGAGTGACTGTACATTCCTCTTCTTTTTCCCCATTTTAAAGTTCTTAAATTTTATTTACCTGCTTGAACCACTTAGTCCTTATGCTTTTGTATTGAGTTTTGGTGCCATTTTCAATGGTTTTCTATGATTTTAACATTTTAGTGTTGTTCTGGGAAAATGAAGAAAAACTGAAAAACACAATCTGTTATTGATATTTCAGGGGTTTTCTTGTCCATCTTCAAGGAATATGTGCACTACTGCATCTATTGGACCATCGAATGAGGGGTTGAAAATGCTAGTTACTGCAGGACCTCATGCTCAAAAAATGGTTGGAATATGGCTTTTCGGTTCTGCTGCATGGGTTTTCAGTATGGTGATACTTGGTGGTATTACACGACTTACAAGATCTGGTCTATCCATGACTGACTGGAAATTTACTGGGAGACTTCCTCCTCTATCAGAGGAAGAATGGTTGGTTGAATTTGAGAAATACAAGCAGTCTCCTGAATACAAGCGGTTAGTGCAACCCACAGTATGTCATTTTTTAGTCCAAATGGCAATTGTATTGTCAAAGCCTCTTGACTTTTGTGGTTCGCACAGTTTTCAAGGCGCCAAGGCGAGGCTAGGCGACTGGGGGGCGCCTTGTCGCCTAGTCACCTAGGCGGTGGATTTTTTTATGTTAAAAACATAGATCTTAGGGTAGTTCCCTAGGTACCATAACCATATTTCTTTAATAATTATTCATGATTTCCATAAGAAAAGTATAAATTTCATATTAAAGTATAGAAAATCAACATATTCATGATTAGAAAAGGAAGAAGGAAAATAAAATTAAAAAAATATAGGGGCTGAACCCTTATTTTTATTATAGGAAAAGAAGAAAATAAAAGGTATTGGTAGTAGTAGTAGTAGTAGAGGAAGAATATATGGAAGAGGAAAATGTGCTGATTAGATAAAATTTTAAGTTCTTCCTTACTTATTGGTTCAGGTTTTTAAGTCTTTGAGGGTTCAATACAGCATTTAGCAATGTTTGTGTTGATTAAACCCTAATAAATAAGAAAATAATAAAAAGAAATTAGTATATAAACACAAATGATTATTTTAGTTTAATAATGTCTATTTTATAAAAAGTATTTTATAGTAGGAAGTAGAAAACTGCTTGGCGATTAGGCGAGGCGAGCCTCAAAGGGCACCCTGTCGCCTAGGTGTCGCCTTGACAACTATGGTGGTTCAATATTTCTCCTTGCTTTAAACTGGCAATTATTTGGTCTCTATGTCTTTCTTGGCAGTGGTTAGTTGAGTATATACTATTTTAAGCATATCAAACTATGGTTGTTTTTTCAGAGCATATTTAGTTTGTATTCTTTCTTGGCAGTGGCAATTATTTGTTGATATTTTGTATTTGATTCTCAGGTGCCTCATTAATGTTTTCCATCTCCTATATGCTAATGGTTTATCTGCATTTGTGTATACATGAAAAAATAAATTTCTATTAGGGTTAGTTACTTAAATATACCCTGTGGTTTCACTAAACTACTAAAATATACTTTGTGGTTTTCAAAGCTACTTAAATATGCCCTGTTAAAGAATTTAACATTAAGATTGACAGAAAAGAAATAAAAGGACAAAAATGCCCTTATTGTTCATTAAAATTTCAAAATATGACCTCAGTCATAGTCCCTGAAATTTCTGATGTTGAATCCCTACTCTAGCTTCGATTCTCCTTTTGGGGTTCCTCCATGAACCCTCCCAGGGTTCAGGAATAAGGAGACATAGGATATGTCTCTCCAACCATATTCTTCTCGTCCCTCACTCAGGTTCTGCTTTCGCAGTGAATCCAGTCTTTTTTGCTTCCTCATCCTACCTTTCTTCTCTTGCTTGCTCTCTGCTCATAAATCCAGTCTTCTATTGCTTGCTCTCTGCTCATAAATCCAGTCTTCTATTGCTTGCTCTCCACCAAAAGACAATAGTGTTCTGGGTAGATAAATAGTGTTTGTGGCGATCTTGGTGGTGGACATTTTTCTTTGTTTCATCCTTTTTTCCACCAATTTCAGACTGAGAATTCTTTTTATGGTTAGTTATTTTTGGATGTTATTGGTTTCTGATTTGGATGTTATTGGCAGTCTGAGCAGCATTGATGGTGGACTTTGCTTTCCCTGAAACTAGCCAACAGTGAGTGGTAATTTCTCCTGTTATTATTTATGGTTGTTTTGCCTCGCCTTCTATCGCGTATGAGTTATTTCCATGTATTTGGGTTTAATCTGAAGGTAGGCCATTTGGTTTTGATGCGATGTTGTTGCATGTTGTCTGACATACCCATGAACTGGTTCATTAATGGTGGACTCATGGAGGAGATTAGCTTTCTTTGTGATAGAGCCATAGAGGTAAGATATGGATCAGCTGTTGTGAAAAAAATCCGTGCAAGTAGTCAGATCCACCACTATTACTACCGGTATATTGGGTCCAAGAAGGTCTGCAAAAAAACATGGTGGAAGAAGATTTTAATTGCCTGGGCTGATGTTTGGGACTTGGGGTTGGTCTGGATCTTCTTATATATGAGCTCTCAGGCGGCTGAGATCACTGAGGTTATGATTCACAGTAACCTCTACCAAATGGCTCAAAGAAACAAGATAATGGGAGCAAAATTGGAACATTAGTAAAATATTAGACTCGGTGCATACGGCTCACAACATTTCACAAATGGAGAGCTTATTTGTATCAAGTGAGGCCACCCCATAAGGTATACTGAAGTAGTTTTGGAAACCACAGGGTATATTTAAGTAGTTTGGTGAAACCACAGGGTATATTTAAGTAATTAACCCTTTCTATTATTGTTGGAGTAAATGTGTAAAACCTCTACTAATCTCATATTTTCATTTTTCTTATCTTTTGATAATTTGCAGTGTTAACAAAGGGTTGAGTGTTGACGATTTCAAATTCATATATTGGATGGAATATGCTCACCGGATGTGGGGAAGGGGACTGGGTGTCATGTTTGCCCTTCCATTAACTTATTTTCTTCGTAAGGGATGGATTACATTCAGACTTGGATTGAGACTTTCTGCTCTTTTTGCACTTGGTGCTGGGCAAGGTTTTGTTGGCTGGTGGATGGTAAAAAGTGGTTTAGAGGTAGGAAAAACTTAACCATTCTGTGTAGATTTGTTGTAGTCTGTTGTGCAAATAATTTTCTCTTTGTTGTAGGAGCCCGTATCTGAATATGTTCAGCCTAGAGTAAGTCCTTACCGTCTTGCAGCTCATTTGACATCGGCATTTGCCATATATTGTGGCCTTCTGTGGACCGGTCTTTCTGTTGTCATGCCTGATCCACCTACTGGTTCCCTAGCTTGGGTTCATGGAGCAGCCAAAATTCGGAAGTTGGCTCTTCCTCTAAGTGTCCTTGTTGGTATTACTGCCATTTCAGGAGCATTTGTCGCAGGCAATGATGCGGTATGAAAGCTTTTATTCTTACTTCTCATCTTCTGCTCATTTCTAGTGGACTAGTAAGTGTGCACATGGGTGGCAATTCTAGATGATGATAATGATAGTAATAGTGTATACAAAATTTTCTATAAATTTTATGTATTTTTTTAATTTTTTGTTTTTAATTATTAATCGGATATAGAGTGCCAAATCCAAATCTGATTACATAAACACCTTATCCAAATGTGTGATAATTGGATCGAGTTGTGAAGTTTCAAGTATCATTGATAGGCATACTTGCTTGGCTAGACTCTTTTTTTTGTAATGTTTTATTTTTTGGTGTATTTTTTTGTTCATTTATAAAAAAATTGTAAGATTTAAATAGAGGGAATTGAATGGGGTGAAAAGTTGTAGTTCAATTTACAATTTAAACCTCACAATTAAATAGGGACTAAATTAAAAAAATGAGTATTTTAGTCAAAAGAAACTTCCACAATTTTATTCATATTTTTAATAGTAGTGTAAATATAGAATTATAAATGTGTTCAACTTTTTTATAATTTTTTTTTGTATTTCTATGTGTAAAAAATAATTCTGATATGCCACACTTTTTTTTTAATATGATAAATATATGATATTATACATGTGTCCACTTTTCTTTTTTGCAAAATTTATGTATTTTTATATTTTATTAATTTTTATTATTTATGTATGACATTGAAGGATAATACATTTGACCCAAAAGTTGAACAATTGATCTTTGCCAAACAATAAAATAATTTCATTTTTGGTCAGTTCTAAATTATTTATATCATTTTTCATCATCAATAAAAATAATTCTTGTTTATTACACTTATTTTTTAATTTGATTAATAAAAATATCATAAATGTGTTTAAGTTTTTCTCTATTTTTGTAATTTTCTATATTTATTTCTATTTTAAAAATTTTATTACCTAACTATGATTTCATAGGTTAATTAATTTGATTTGGATAGTTGAATTGCTTAGCCACCTCTTGGATAAAGAATGGTTTTGTTTTTGAGTCAACTTTAAAATATATAGGTTTACATTGTTAAAAATATTGACATAGATCTAATTAGTAGCATTCATTAGTAAAAAATAACTTAAATATATGATTTAATAAGAGAAAATGGGAGTTAATGCTTTAMGTATAAGAGCTAATGAGAGGGGATTAAATGAGGTGGAAAGTAATAATTAAAGTTACATTTTCAACCCTTACATTTAGAGATGGACTAAATACATAAATATGAGCATTTTAGTAGCCATTAAAGCTGGCATTAAAACTAAATGAAATGACTTTTATACCCTTTTTTAGACAAAGAAATAGAGGGTAATTTTAGTCCAAAAAACTTTCATTCTGCATCCACATTTTTATATATAGTATAGATATTTAGGTTGTTCTCAAAAGTACTTGGAAGCAGTCTGATGTAACAGTTGATCTAATGACCAATTACCAGGGCCATGCTTATAATACATTTCCAAAAATGGGTGATGCATGGATTCCAGATGATATCTTCAGCATGGAGCCACTATTCTGCAACTTCTTTGAGAATACATCAACTGTACAGGTAATCTTTCCCATGCTAAATTACCAGTTTGTTGATATTTCCATGTCAAACTAGATTCTTCTAATTGGTTTTCAAGTGTTGTAAAGATATAATTATATCAATATTACCGAATCACAAGATGCCTTAGTTTCATTTTGAATGATATGTTCAATCACTGTGTTTTGGGAATCAACCTCTACCATTAAAATTACATAGTAACAGCCTGCCGGCCTGGAAGAGATTTTTAACCCTTAGGTGGGTCCTCATGGTATAGTGAGGTACCAGCCTCTCTTTTTGGTTGCACATGCTTTTCAAATTGAAGAACTAGCTGCAAGAACCTTCCTTTTCAATGTTTGGTTCCATTGTCAGAATCTTGCTACTTTTATTGTGTTTAAATTGTGGAAGCATGATGGTTCTTTGAAGAAGTCCCTTCCTATTATTTATATTCAGCACCTTTTTATTGCACACAATTTCTCTGGAGTTGTCTTAAGTTTGTCTAGGAACTTGGAGTTACTTTGGAGATTCCCAACACCTTGAACCACAATTTGACTTTTGTATTGGGGCTAGACCTTTCAGTATATGTATGCTATTGAAAATGGTAACCGAGGTGATTGGTTTCAAGTGTAGTTTAACACTTAGGTGTCCAGCTTTGTGGAGTTGGAGTGGGAACAGGAAAGTATTGGTTTATATCTAGTTTGAAAAGCTCCAAGGGTTGGATCATTTGTAGAAATGTGACTCATGCTTCCTAAAAAATGCAATCTAACAGTGACTCTGCTCCTAGAAATGTGACTCATGCTTCCTAGAAATGTGACTCATGCTTTAATGAGATGACCTTGCGGAGACACTGGGAGAGACTCTGCATGCTGAATGTCTTGGACTACATTCATCGCATCTGCTATTACCTTTTGGATGCCCAGTTGCATAGCGAGTTACATACCCATTCTAACAGCAAGGATCTCTGCTATGTGAGCTGTCAAACACCAGGTCTGAACCCTGTAGGTCCCCACTGCTTCCCCTGTAGATGACCTTATGATGGCTCCTAAACCAGCTTTAAGAGAGATAGGAAGGCTGCATTGGTGTTTAGCTTTAACCATTCCTGTGGTGGACGGATCCATCTCTAGGGAGGTCTATGGACAGTTAAATTGATTGGTTGAGCTTCTGGGACTTGATTCCACCAATTGAGCCCCCTCTTGATTTTGCATAGGACTTGTTGCAGGGACTGGTTCTCAGTGGAGAAGACTAACTTGTTTTGAGATGTCCAAATGTTCCAACAAGTTGCAGCAATAATCCTCTGCCTGCTTCTGAATTTCATCGCCATCTGATGCGATCCATTGTTCTAGCCATGATGTGAGGGAGTCTCACTGATTTGGTTTTGCACTTAGAGTTGACCCAAACCACACTGCCCTGCTGAAATCACAATGGAGGAATAAATGTCTGATGGTTTCTTCTTCCTTTCTGCATCGGGGGCAGAGATCATCTGATAGGATTTTCTTCCTCTTCAATTCTGTTCTCACTGGGATTGCCCCATGGCTGATTCTCCAAAGCAGATTCTTAACTTTAGGTGGGATACTTAGACTCCATATACCCTTCCAGTGGGTCTTTGAGAACAGAGGCATGTGACTGGAGTTTTAATTTTCCTCATCTAGCATTTCCTTTGCAACATGGTAGGTTGTCTTCACTGTACATTCTCCTGAGTTATGAAAATTCCAGAATATGGTGTCCTGATGATCTCCCCAACTAATGGGAATGCTTTGTATGGCTTTTGCTTATTGGTTACTAAACCATACCCGAATGACCTCCCATGTTCCACGTCCGAGGATTTTTTTTTTTTTGTTTTTTTATCAATACACCGCCGAGAATGTTGGAATATCAGATCTTGCATTCTGGATAGAGGACAATTCCCCTGATTTTGATTGGATATTTGGAAATTTCCCAAGCCTGGAACCCACATGTCTTCCCCAGATTTTTGTTTTTTTTGAAAGGTAAGATGAATTTTATTAGAAACCAACAGGCAAATAGTACAACGATTCCCTGGCCTCACTGAGATCGACCAGGAGAACAGAACAGATTACAAGCTCTAAAGGGTTCTTAACAACTCAGACACATTCTGGTTTTTGAACTCAGATTTTACAGAATCCGAAGATATCAGTCTGCTAATAGCAGAAAGGATTAAATCTTCTGAACTCTTCACTTTGTTACAGAAGATTTTATTTCTCCTTTCGGTCCAGATAGACCAGAGTACATCTGCAGGCAGAGACTTCCAGATAATCTTTCCTTTTTTCTTCAGGCCTTGGACATTACAGCAGCACATTAAGTCTTTGACTGAGCTCAGCATAACCCAACTGATCCCAACTGCATTGAGAAAATGATCCCACACCTTAGAGGTGATAGAACAGTGTAAGCTCAGGTGGTCAGTTGTTTTAGGCACCAGGCCACAAAGGCCACAGATCCAAGAGATGCAGTCTCCTCTCCAGATTTGTTCTAGTGAGGCACTTATCCAGAGACATAGCCCAAATCAGAAAGTTCACTTTTGAGGGAGGGGTGAGATTCCAAATTTGTTTGCTAGGGAAATCTGACAGACCTGAACTGTTTGGCTTTGAAGCCAAAGATCTCACTGAGAAAAACCGATCACCATTCTACTTCCAACACCAATCATCCTCTGTAACAGGTTCAGCAACTCCAACACTTCACCAATCTCCCAGTCAAACAAATTTCTTCTGAACCTACTGAATTTTCAGAACAGATATAAGAATCAGCAACTGAGAAATCTTGGTAAGAAGCACACTGGAAGAAGGTGAGGAAAGGCCTCAGCCAGGGTACTGTCCATACACCAAGGATCTTTCCAGAACTTTAACCTGTCACCTTTGCCTAATTTAAACCCCACCCCTTCAGAAAAATAGGGGAAACATTTCATTCATGATTCCTTTCCAAATAGAACAGCCCCAATTTGGAAGGCAATCTTGAGAGCACCCCCA